AAATTCCTTGCTGTTGTTCATTGAGAAACGTTGTTCTTGTGTTAGACTGTTGGCTATATTTGCGATTGTAAAAAGTGCATGTTCACACAGTGGTGAACCTTGCTGCCTCCTTCAAATGTCAGACTACACGAATACAGCGCAATTTTGAGATGACAGATGTGTCACAGACAAACGTAATGTCTCGTCGGCAATTTTTAGTTGTCTGGACGCGTAGCCCATGTAGTGTGACGTATTCAATGATTGCGTCCGGGACACTACATGACCACGCTGACGAAAGACATCATCGCAGCCCATATATACATCTATCTGTGGCGGATGCTACAAATTAATTTTGGCCGCCACTAATAGAATTTAATTTTGCTCCTTGTTTGTTGGATGCATTGTCTGGCATTCGGGGTGAGATCAGCTCGGTCCTCTTTGACAGCTGATGATATTATGAAGCACTGAAAAGTCAATCCCTAAATTCCTTGCTGTTGTTCATTGAGAAACGTTGTTCTTGTGTTAGACTGTTGGCTATATTTGCGATTGTAAAAAGTGCATGTTCACACAGTGGTGAACCTTGCTGCCTCCTTCAAATGTCAGACTACACGAATACAGCGCAATTTTGAGATGACAGATGTGTCACAGACAAACGTAATGTCTCGTCGGCAATTTTTAGTTGTCTGGACGCGTAGCCCATGTAGTGTGACGTATTCAATGATTGCGTCCGGGACACTACATGACCACGCTGACGAAAGACATCATCGCAGCCCATATATACATCTATCTGTGGCGGATGCTACAAATTAATTTTGGCCGCCACTAATAGAATTTAATTCTGCTCCTTGTTTGCATCGGCTAATCAATACCACTGCTTTCCATTCTGACCTCAAATGAATAAAGTACCGAAAATATAATCTAGTATGAGAGGCATCGTCATTTCAGAGGCCTAATGAGTATCTCATCACTGCTAACTGCTTGCTCTTTTTGTTGGCATTGTATTTTCTCTCTGAAATACCACTCCTCGTTGAACAAAGCGTATGTATTTGTTGTCAGAACATTCTGAGTTCAGGATTACACTGCAAAAAGACTATTGCATGAAGCGAACCAAAGCTGCAGCGCCAGACCACAGTGATTTTTTTTCCCTCTATGCCAATTTTAGTGAGCAAAACTCTAACTCCATCGTTCGCAATTCTGCAATTTTAAAGTTGTGCAAATTATCTTTGTGAAACAATTAAAGACATATGTTAATTCTCATGCCCACCATTAATATGGCTGCTTTATTTAAATTTGGTTGGTGATCAGCCCCAAAAATCCTTAGCGTGGAAAGACTGACGATGATATATCTTTGTATATTTATTCGTATATGCGGTGATGCCGTTGGTAAAGGATAAGTAGTGCTCCTGTTTTTAGTTGATGATGATACAAAAGTAGAGCTTGGGTTCCATTTGCGAAGACAATTTAAGAGGTGGAATGCATCCTCATTCACTCGCTCAAATCCAATTGTTTACGTCTCCACTTGCTTATCAGACCATAAATTATGATGGTCTAACAGAGGAAGAAGGCTTGGCAGAGATATCTACACAACAGGCTGTAGGTTGACCACTTTTCAAACATAGCTGCCATGTTCGAAACATTAAAAAAAAAAGATCTTTGTGTTATAGGAGATTCTCTTGTAACGCAGGGGTTTGCATAATTGTGATGTTTTCTTTCCAGCCTTGATTTGCTTGAGTATTCTACATAAATTGATTCATGTTTAATGCACTTATATTGAGTAGATGTCCAGTCCTGCATCGTGTGACTACTGATGTTGGACAAGTCAACGGACTTCTAGCCCCAAAAACTTCCTCCCTTCCTCTGTGTTGTGGTCTTTTCTTCTGTGTTGATCTTTCATCTTTGCGTCATCTTCTGCTCTTCCTTCCTTCTGCGAAAACCATTAACGCCGTAACTCCCCACTGAGGCTTTGCTTGCCAGATTCACACCACACTTTTATTAAATTTACCATCTGGTTTGCTGTCCTCCATTCTGATTTGACTGACATTTCATCAGATGTGAGGAAGTGACAGGCCTTGACCTGCTCGGGGTCATGGTGCTGCACCATATTTTTGTCAACTTTTAATCCCCCTGGGCCACTAATATTGATACTGTGTGTAGCACTTTACTTTCTTATATTTAATGATGACTATACCAGTATCAAAATCTAACTATGGTGCATTTAACAAAACAACACAGAAACAAGTTTAGTCAGAAGAGTGGCGCCCGTCTATAATCTATTCTATTCATTATTATAGTGAATCTCCTTCAAACCGCCACAGATTACTATAGGATACATCAGACAACAAACGTATTAATTTTGAAGGGTTTTGTGGTAGGTTCTCTTGAGAAATTATGAATATGATTTCAAGTTGTGAATTGTCCATATCTAGTTCAATATGTGTCAGGTCAAATGTCATATCAGAATGAGTTGTTACTTCCAACCAAATTATTTTAATTGCTACACTTTGGTCGTAAAAATGTACCAAAATCAATTTTTTGTCGACACAAATGTTTACATAGGTCTAAAATGTAAATGCATGTGATCAGGACATTTGTAGATGGTATTTAAGGAGATGTTATAAAAAAATAAAAAAAAATGTTAGGTTTTTTTTTTTTTAATCACTGTGACATTCTTGACTTGACTAGTTAATGTGTTCCACAGACATTTTAAATAGCATATGTATTTTTAAAAAATGAACAATTGTAATGTTTGATAAAAGTGTGCAAATGGTCTGAATAGTTATTTATCAGTTATATGTTTATTGTTTTTTGTTCTTTTGTAGAGCCAGACCTCATTAAAATGTCGGTGCATGTTCTCTGTAACCTTCTGACTAGCCTCACTTTCATGTTTTTGCCAGTCATTTGGGAGACCGATAACCAAACCCTCCGACGATAGCAGTGTCCTTCCACTTTAGGTTGTCAGCAGCAAAGTTGCAGCATTGAAACCTTTCTGCACATCCGTGCACACACACACACACAGGCACGCCACTCAAAGGGTACAGTCTTTGTTTGATCCACTGTGAGGTTTATCTCCTAAACCCAAATGTCAACACTTACTGTTGACACACTCCGTTTCCTCTAACAATCCAGTGCGGTCCACAGTCAAAGGCCTGCGAAAGGACCAAGTAAAAGTAGTTGACCTGGGGCAGAATGGAAAGTCAAAAGGAATATGAACAAATGATACTGATCCCACAACACACACCTGCAAATGTAAACAAGCGCACCGTTTTGCATGCAAACAGAAAGTGGGTGCCAACATGTCCATGTTAGTGTGTGCACCTAATTTAAGAACTTGGATGGGTCCAAAGTTTGAGTGTATTTTTTTGGCAGTGTATTTTCCCTTCGTTTTGACACGTTTCCATTTCAAAATACAATACAACACAAAAGCCTTTTGCATTGTTCTACAACATTTAACAAACTTCAACATGAAGCCGGTCCATGTGTTTCGGCATGACTTCATATATATTTCAATGCATGTGTCCCCCAATGTCTTTCACCTTAGCACCCGGAGAGGAGCTCCATCACTCCTGCGGGTTAATCATTCCAGCAGTGCTATCATGTCAGAAAAGGTCTTATCTAATAGCCCTACATGAAAATCCGCCCCCTTCTTTTAACCCCCTTTTCCACTTGTAAACTTGCATAAAATCGTTCAATGGGGGTGGGGGTATAGAATGTGGGATGTGTGAGATTTGGAAATTAATTGACAAATAAAACGTACCTTTCATTCTAATTTGTACACACATATCCAGAAAATAATGATAACATATGAATGTTTCCCCTATCAAAATAGAACTGAAAATATTCTTCAGAGAACAGCATACTCATCTCGATCAGACTTCAAGAATATGGAATGGGAGCTCCTGCAGGCACATCATATGAAAGCAGAAGAGTTAGCCTGGCTATAATGGAAAACAATGTCTATCCATGGTCGTATGTAACTGATGGAAATTAGAATTTCATTTAATCCAGAATTAATCCACAGGGCAGCACGTTAATTTATATGTAGAATATTTCTTCAAACACAGGCTTTGACATTGACGATCAGAAAGAAAGAAAGAAAGAAAGAAGGAAAGAAAGAGAGAAAGAAAGAAAGAAAGAAAGAAAGAAAGAAAGAAAGAAAGAAAGAAAGAAAGAAAGAAAGATACAAAGAAACAAACAACCGTGTCATTTCTCATCATTTGCAAGCAACCGCAAAATGAGTAGGATGCACAAAAAAGACGAACAAAAAAAATCCCTGAAAGTGTGAGAGTTGCACAGTACTTCATTTTCGTAGGTGGACATCTGCGCGTTCATGTGCTCGTACACTTTTAAGTCACGATACTCGCACACTCAGGCCGAGCTTTAAAGTCCACGATCATCGGGTTCGACCAGCTGAGATTTTGGAGAGACGAACCCGGTGCCTTCGATGCGATGTGTGCCGGTTCACTGGCCTGATTGGACCGGGGACGTATGACGTCAGACGGCCGCATGAGTCCAGGATTGGAAGGAGGGGAGTAAACAACGCGGCGAGGAGGAGGAAGGAGGAAGAGACGTTTCCACATCTCAGGCAGTCCTGCTTGACGCGCCGAGTCTGATTTTACGCACAGGGGAGCGCGCAGGTTTTGTTGTAAAGGCTTAAAGTTATTTATAATAACTTTATTAGTTTACCGCGCCTACAACACATTAGGAGCCGACACAAGAAAACTTATTTCGTATTTTAATCCACGTTTTGAGTGCCTGAGTGACACATTTCCTTGCTCAGTGCGTAATTGTGACTTTTTTTTTTGTAACAAAATGACATTGTGACATTTAGAATTGCGGTCCGTTTGCCAAGGACGACAGTCAACATTAAAGCGCGCCTGGCCCGAGATATACAGGGGAAGAACGCCAGACATAGATCGAGAGAGACGCGGGCCACTTTTGACTAAAAAGTGCGCCCAAGGTTCTCGCATCAAGAGTGTCCGTCTCGTCCGAGTTTCCGCTGAGCTGAGGCCGGCGGCGCTGACATGCTGCCCAAAGTCGAGACTGACTCGCTGGGACTCTCTCGATCGTATGGGGAACAGGGACACATGCCAAGAAACGTGCAAGGTAAGAGCTGACACTCCTCTCATTTTAGACAACAAACGCGCAAATCACGTTTTATGAAGGAGAACTAACTGACCATCATTTCTATTTGGTCGTACGATAGAGTCGAATATGGCATCGTTTCTGGTGGCTGTCAAGATGATGAAAGATGTTTGGGTTTGCAGAGCATTCCGTTGGTTTATCCCCGCGAGTCGGAATTAAACTAAAAATATAAGTGCATATGTGACATAGGCTCAATTTGTGGCTTGCGATCCCGTCACCGCTCAATTGCAGTCACGCTAAGAGTGGAGGTGTCCTGACGCCGGGCGCGTAAAAACTGTCCAAACTGACTAAACGGTCTTATGATGCTCCCAGAGTGACTCTTTTGAGACTTGATCCCGATGGTTAAATGCATGTGCAAAAGAAATACTGTTTTCCTTCTCAATACAAAGTAACACGGTATCCACAGCTGCACCGTCTTTATCCCAAGCTGTCAAATGTTGAATTTTGTTTGCGAAGAGTGCACGAATTGATTTCCATCTTCGTTTTGTATCGGAAAAATATGTTACAATTAGAGTGTTTTAAAAAATATATCTTTAAGAAACATTTTGAAACGTTACCAAAGTTTTATATATATTTTTGTTCAATGAACAATATTGCAGTGATTCGTTTTGTTTAAAATTACACTGCATATGTATCCGCTTTTTTTAATGCCTGTAATATGCGACTTATACAGTTTTAACACCTGACTAATTCATATTTTGTGAGCTAAAATACTGGATCACTTTTACAAATTGTTCCAGTTCTACGGATTTAATTGTGCTGTGGTGGAAAATAAAAAAGAAACCGTGTTGGCAACATTTCTGTAACTGCGTCACCTGTCAAGATAAAATTCAAGCTGCACCTCTAATTCCACTTTTGTCATTCCGCGGCGATCTAAGCGGGCAATCAATTAACCCGCGCGTTTATGAGATGCTGATAACAGAGCCAAGACTCTCTGACAAGTAAAAGAGTGGCTTGTTAGTGGGACACTTATCAGATTTTACACACGCAGTAAAACAAGGTAGCCCGGGACACGTTTTTTTTCCCCTTTGTTTTCTTGGAAGTATTTTTATTTTGCAAATGTCAGATATGTTTTAATAAATGTATTGCCTCAGTAAAAAGACAACAACTGCAAAAGAGAATTTATGCCATTGAAAGGTAACTTAGTCTGTATTTTTAAAAATCACACGTGCGCATTTTTTAATTGTCTTCGTTTTATCACGTGTGAAAATTGTGACAAAGCAGCTTGACAGCTTACTGTATTGTGCACGCTCTTATTTTCCATGAAATCAACGACATGCATGTCTCTCAAAACACCACGATTGCAACCTTTTCCCGAATAAATGTAAAGTTATTTTAATGTAGCAAAATAAGTGAATAGATTTGGATTTATTGCACACATGAGAAGCGGTCCCGCGTTTCAATGATCTTTAGATTTTTTTTTTTTTTGAAAGCCCATTCAAAGATGTTTTTCTATGTATTCTTTCTGAATGCAAAATACGCGAGCGGCACGCGGTGCAACTTGTTGATCCACTTGAATGTGAATGCCCCGATAATTATTAATATTCCAATTAGAAAAGTCTATAAGATTGGCAAAATTGTTCGCGCGGAGGCCGCAGTGGGGTATCTAGAAAGACAGAAATGAACAAAAGAAAAAAAAACCTTTTTTCCACTGTTAAATCCCGGCTGTTTTAATGATAGGGCTGTAATTTTTACAAGTGTTGTAAATGTCAGTCTGGCTCTTTTTTTGTTGAGTGATGCAACAATTTCTAAAAAGTGAAAGAAATAAAAGAATAACCAGGTAACCTACTAACATATTAAACTGCAAGTTTTGATGTGCAGCAACTTACAGGTATACTCTATTTTGTTGAATAGGATTTAAGTATAAAATCGCGGGAGCATTTCCGATTATGCAGAACTCACGCGAGAAAGCGAAAATGTGAAATTGGAAAAAAAAAATAAAGCGGCCTTTAGCATTGTGTTCGTTACAGAGGGAATAATCATGTTGGTTGTTTCTGTGCTGGCCTGCAGTGATGAGCGCTTGTGTGCATGAGTGCGTGTGTGTGTGTGTGTGTGTGTGTGTGTGTGTGTGTGTGTGTGTGTGTGTGTGTGTGTGTGTGTGTGTGTGTGTGTGTGCGTGTGTATGCGCTCGCGTGTGAGTGTCTTCATTTGTCTGTGGGCGGCAACATGTTCTCCTTCGCTCCTTAGCGCTAATATCTCTCGGTCCCCCAGCGAGCTCGACTTGGATGTATTGCATATTTATGAGACTCTTTCATAGTCGTCTTTTTTGGGGGAGGAGTGTGGGGGTGTGTGATTTGCAAGCCAGTGTGTAGGAATTAAGCGAAATAATTTACAGCTTCTGTGCGTCGTTTTTTTTTTCTTTTCCTCCCTTCAAAATAAATGTCCCGAACGCAAAACTTTCGTAGCGTCACCTACTTTGGGCCGCGTTGCTCTCCGAGCTGAATATGGACAACATTGTGACTGTTCTTTCTGTGTATGTATGTCACCATTGCAGTTCCACAATTAAAAATGATGGACTACTCATATGACGAAGACCTGGACGAGATGTGTCCCGTGTGTGGAGACAAGGTTTCAGGCTACCACTACGGACTCCTCACCTGTGAGAGCTGCAAGGTTATTGGACATTTTCTGCCCCTTTGTGTGTGTGTGTGTGTGGGGGGGGGGGGGGGGGGGGGGGGCGAGGGGGAACA